GCTGGTACCTAGCCCTACAATGTCAGGAAATAAACTGCACAGGCAGCCTCTTGCCAGATGGGAATGGGTCTTGGGCATCAAGCCAGAAATTTATATCATCTTTACAAGTATGAAGAGCGGTTGATAGGTTTTCTTTTAAGGACTTTTAAATTGAAACATTGATCATACTTACAGAAAATATGAAACACCTAGAAAAGCATAAAGCAAAAAATAACAATCCCCTTTAATCTAATTACCCAGAACTCACCACTGTTAGAACTTTAGGGTAATTTGTTCTTTTCTTCTATGTATATTCTTACATAGTTGAAATCAGGCTCTATAAGTAAGTTTATATTCCTCCTTCGCACTTACCATTATAACATATATGTTTTTAATGGTTTTGAAACTTAGTAAATATTTTAATGGCAGCATAAAATTCTATCATATGGATACCATATAATTGATTTAACTATTTTCATACAGTTAGGAATAAGAAAGAGAAGATTTCACTACAGACATACCTCGGAGATATTGTGGGTTAAGTTCCAGGCAGCCAGAGTAAAACAAGTATTGCAATAAAGCAAGTGCAATCTTTCTGTTGGTGGAGGGTCTTGCCTTTAATTTGTAAAAAAGGCAAGAAAGCAAAACACAATAACACAAGGTATGCCTGTATTATAATTGATGCTACAGTGTTCACATTTGTACGAACTTAGATTTTGGCAATGATTTCTTGTGATCAGTATCAAGAGCAAAATGAATGAATCAGCTGTATGAAAGTTTCTTCCCAACAAGTTTTCTGCCAGCCTCCACTCATCACAGGTGTGAAAGACTGCATATTTCATCTTCTCTTCGCAGCACTTGTGGTTATGACTGAAGGATTTTGGGTGTGGGCACGACACAAGCAGATTTGCATCTATAAAGTTGTGTACTGGAGACTGAATCAAGAGGGCCAAATCAGAAATGCTATTGTCCTGACTGATCCTCCTTTGCTTCCACATTTTCCCCCTTTCCATTTCCCTGTTTACCTTTTATTCTTTCTTGGAGAGTACATATTAAGTGTTCATTGCACACAAGCACTACATAAGGCTTTGTAACCAAGAACAGTGCTGAGGAGGCTCACTCTATGGTCACTGCAAACTTGAGCCCAGCTCACAGACCCTCTTTTTATAGTTTTGTCAAAAAAAATATCTTTCCTGGTCAGTGTGGCTCAGTGATCATTGACTTGTGAATCAGGAGGCAGAGAGGTTCAATTCCATGTGTGGGTTGCGGGTTCAGTCCCTAGGGGGTGTGCAGGAGGCAGCTGATCAATGACTCTCATCATTAATGTTTCTATATCTCTCTCCCTCTTCTTTCCTCCCTTGAAATCAGTATATATATATATATATATATATATATATATATATATATATATAATCTCTGATTAGTACTTCTCCTTAGGTAGAAATATTTATATATATAAAAGCCTAAGTGACCATTATGACTGAATGACCAGAACAACCAGTCAACCAGTCACTGTAATGCACACTGACCACCAGGAGGCAGATGCTCAACACAGGAGCTCCCCCCCCTCCCCCCCCCCCCCCCCCAGTGATCAGTGATCTCTCACAGGAGGAGCACCGTTCAGCCAGAAGCCAGACTCATGGCTAGCAAGCAGGGGGAGCCTCTGCCAATTCCACAGCAGTGCTGAGATGAGCATAAGCTGCGCTCGGCCCCAGCTTGGGCTCCTCCTGGCCTCCTTGTGGCTTGGCGCACTGCTACATCCCCCAAGGGATCCTGGATTGCGAGAGGGTGCAGGCAAGGCTGTGTGACCCTACGCCCCTGCCCCTGCACAAATCTGTGCACCGGGCCTCTAGTTTTTTATATTCTCCAGTAAAATTACCAAGTGAGTTTATTGCTAAATGAATTTTTCTCTTCATCCTGTGACTATCCAATACTAAAGATGATCATCCTTGTCCCTGGAATATTCTTCCTCTTTCTTAACCCAGCAAATTGCCTTGGCAGTCATCCTTCAAGACCTTCCCCACTGGCACCTCCCTTCCAACCTTGACCAGTAAGAATCAGTTACTCAGGCTTCCTTATTCCTATAGTTCAAGTACAGCAGTATTTTCTATACACAACACTTTTCTCCCTTTGGGCAAAAAAAAAAAACAAAAAACTCCCAAACTAAAATATTTTGTACCCCACTTCTGAACAGAGTTCCTGGCACTTGGTTGCTACTCAGTAGCTGTTGAAGGAATAAATGAGTAAGTAAAACAGGAATTAGCTTAAATATTTATGATTGATAAGTGTAAAGACAATATGGAGATGAAATGATTTCCAAAAACACACTTTGAATTATAGGTACCTAAGGTAAAAGAGACATCTGGTATACCAGATGTCCTGATTCTGGATTCTAAGTTCTAAACATTTAATTGTTCTGTGTGCCTGGACATTGATTTGCATTCTATTCTGTTTCATTTTAAAGCAAATTTAATTTGTGCGTAAGTATCTCTGTGCTAGAAAACAGTAAAGGGAATCCAGTGATGCCAGTATTTCCAAAGCGTGTCCCTAAGAAAACTTCCTAAGCATCACACAAAAGAATAGCCTTGGGGTCCCATATGTTTTGGGAAACAGAGATAAATAGGTTTCTTTACCTCAGAGCTTCCTGATAGCCATTCTAGGAAGTTGAAAGAAAAATCAGTTAAGAAATGGTAAAGAGATAGAAGAGCAGTCACAGTCAGTCTTTCTTCAGTGGTAGACAGGAGTCATCCTAGCCCTTTTGTGCTAGAGAAGATTCAGAATACAAAGTCAAAGGCAGAATGGCAAAAAGTGTACTGAGAGCCTAGCTCCTACATTTATCTCCTCAGTTCCACATTTGTGCAAGCCCCTGCCCCCACCCCCCAACACACACACACACACACACACACACACACACACACACACACACACACCCCATGCTGATGAGATCAGCCTTCATTACTTCTCTTCCAGAGCCAAGAAGCAAGGTAATGTGTGGGAAGTGATAACTGTAAGGTAATGTGTGGGAAGTGATAACAACGTTAGAGTTAAGCCACTCAACCGGAAAATTTGTTAAAAGACCAAGACATTGTAAAAACTGAAACACTTGAGTCCATTAAGTCCTCTGCTTCTTAGAACATCTTGTTACCAGGGAATGTTTCAAGGAGGAGAAAACATTGAACTATGCCACAGCTCGGTCAGCTACCAAAGCCTGGTACAAAGAGCAACATTTTATAGGACATCTGTCCCTCTGCCACTAGAGAAACTTTTAAAAAGGTCTGCTTCTCTTCCTTTCTTCTACCCCAATAGAACTCCTCCACCTTCTTCACCCTATATATATACTTCTCTCCTCCCTCCTTTTCCTTCTCCTCCTCTTCTTCCTCCTCCTCCTCCTCTCTCTCTCTCTTTCTCTCTCTCTCTCTCTCTCTCATAACCCATGTTGATTTCACTGACACTGTTAAAATGACACAGTAAGCTAAGATTACCAATGGTTATTTAATGCTCTTTGGTAAGAAGGGAACTAATTAAGTGACTAGAGGTTTAGACATGTGTTGTTTATTGGAAGTAAACTCCTTAAGAGAGCCTGGAGCGTTTGCCTAAGCAAACATTGCCCTTCATGGCTTCTTGTTCCAAGTCCAAATTAGATGGAGACTTTAAAGAGAGAGTATGTTTTCAGAGAGAATGAGAATGGGAGTGTCAATGGACATAGAGGGGGAAAGCTACAGCCATATACCTGTTACAGAAAGACTAAAGCAATTTGTGTGTCTGTTGGCAGTTGATGTTCACCAGTGATTACCAATAGGTTAGACATTAGCCATGTTGACACATTTGTGGTCAGCACAATGGTTTGTTTAACTGTCTTCACTACAAATACATCCATCAAGAGAATGTTTTTTAAACAATAGTCTTTTAAACAAAACAAAAAAAAAGCAAGAACAAACTCAAGTGTCTCCTTGCCAATGTTAATAAACATTATTGCAATATATCAGAAGGTTCCTTAGAAGACAGAAGACATCTGTTAGGTAAACAAAACAAAAAAATAACATAGACACCATTTTTAGTTTGTGGATATTAACAGGATGTTAGTGATTAGCTACGACCTATGAAAAAAAAGTGCCTTTGCTGTAGTAGGCAAAAGAATGGAAGCTTTTAAAGAGTCTGCCTTTTTATTTTGTTTCTGTTTTAAATAAATAAAAAATGTGTTGTAAAAGTGAGACTTGGGCCCAACATCAAATCTTAAGTCTTTCATTGCTTTCACAATAAATTGGGCAGGCACAATCAAAGCCTCAGGAACTTGAAAAAAGGACCTCTTCCAGGTGTCAAATCAGAAGTTACTGCCACTGTGGGAGGTCGTCAGCACTCTGCGACTCTGAGCCTGAGACTAATATTTTCTGTTCCTCTTTTTCTACTGTGGACCCAGAATAATCTGGTGTAGGTAAAATATTCTTTTCCTTGGCTCAGATTAGGCACCTGGTGTCCTGAAAGAGGTCACTGATTTCCTCAAGGAGGTCCAAGGAGGTTGGTTCACCACTGGCTTAGCATAGGCCAAAATTGAGGTTAATTAGCCATCAGTCATCATCAGTAGGGCCAAGACGTTATTCAGACAGTCAGAGAAGAGAAACTTGACCCAGCTATGAATAATGGTATTCATCAACATTGCTTCCTATATTAATCCCAATCCAATGTCTTTTTAGGTTGAAAGTAATTTCAGAAATAGCTTGGTTCATCTTTAATGCTACTCCACATTTGAAGAGGCTTCTTGCTATGCCACCTATTCATTGGGTGCATAGTAATGTTCTGAATCAACACCTTTTTTTCACTTGAACTGGGTTTCTGTTCATGAAAAGGTACACTTAATGGCCTTTGAAGAAATTCCTTTTTCAGAATAATTATGAAAATGCTGTTTGGTGGGAGATGAAGAGATATTGACATATGTATTGGCCATCTAGGGCCTAGACCTTCTGGCCAAAACCCAAGGAACACAGAGATGTATATGTACTACTTTTGCTTGTCTCACTCTGCAGACCTCAGTGACCAGCTTCTTGAAGTGGTGGGACTAGAGGGAGCCATGGAAATGGGGCAGATCTACACTGGCCTGAAGAGTGCGGGCAGGAGGCTGGCCCAGTGCTCCTCTGTCATCATCAGGTATGCTTCCACATTACCTAGCATCCTCCAAGTCTCCTGATTTGTTCCTAGATTTAAGTGCAGGAAGCATGGGGACAGAACTTGATAACATTTATAAAGAATGTCTTTCTTTGGAGACCATTTCCCAAAGTGGACATAATGCAGTCACTGAGGACATAAACTAGAGGGTCCAACACAACCACTTTGCTGTTGTCTTAGAATGAACTGGAGAAATTCTCTAAGCAGGAGTATAAGACTCCTTGCCTTTTTATATTTACAAATTAAATTGTTAGCTGTGTGCCACAGGGCACACTCTGACAGAAAGCAGGCTTTCTGCTCTGCTCTTTCTTGGACAGTGGGCTTAGAAACATTGTTTTCTATATGCTTTTGTAGAGCTAAACCATCAACATCAGGAAACCCATTGTAATTGACTAAGAGGGTGATGGTTCTTCAGGGTATGGACCAGCAGGTCAGCCACTGCAGGTGCCTAGAAAAGAAGGAGTCTAAAGGAAGGGATCCTGTGATTTGGACTGCTTCTGTTTAATCAATGCAATTAATCAGCTTCTTCTCCACATGATTATTTCAGCAATCTTTGTTCCTTTTTTCCCATTCAATCTCTGCAGATAAAATCTATTAGTGTGCTTTGGGGACCTCCTAGAGGGAACCACAGCATGCAGGTTTCCCAAAGGAATTTGACTACAGAATCCTTTTCTCCCAAGAACCTCTTGGGCAAGTGTCCTCAGAGCACATTTATGGAAACGCTGCTCTTGACACTCCCTGCATCCTCCGAATGGTCCCCTGAAATTGTTCCTTGATGTCTCTTAGCTGAAGGGTCTAGCCCATGAATCCCTTTTCATCATTCTGTCCCTGTGTCTTCTCTGTTTTTTCTGTTATTCCCCAAAGCTTTGCTCCTCTTTCTCTCTGGAAAGTTGCTGGGCTGGGTCATTTGCTTTTCAGATAAATCTCTTCCCTGTCCAGTCACCATGACTCTAATATTGGGTAGGTCAAATCAGCACATCTAAGCTATAGCTTATGTAGACCATAAAGAATGTAACATCTTAATCATGAAAGAATTTTTTTTAAATCCATGTAAAAGAAGGAAAGATTTCTCTTTATAATCAGTAGACTATTTCCAGATCAAAACAGAGTGGGTGAGCCAGTAGCTCTATCCTCCTGGGCATTTTCCAGGTTCTCTCCTTAGTCCCCAAAACAAAAATCCACTCTCTTCTCTTATTATTTGTTTGACTATTAGGTTTATTGTTGTTGTTGTTGTTGTTGTTGTTTTAAATATCCCCAGGGTCAGAGAATCATCCACATTAAAACACAACTTGCCTTCCACATTTTATAGTTTCAAAATGGGGCAGTTGTCAGGTGAGGGCTTCCTGTCCAGTGGGTAACAACTGTTCCCTACTCACCCAGACCAGAGACCTCTGGAAGGACCTGCCTTTTCTCCCAAAGGTGAGGTAGTATGAATTCTCAACTCTTCAACAGCAGAAAGATCAAAGACTTCATCTCTCTTCTTTTGACAATATACTTGCCAGAGAAGCTTTGTCCCAAACAAAAAAAGCAACATTGTCTCCTTTTCTCTCCTTCCTACCAATGGGAACAATATTCCCAATGATCCCATTTCCCAGCTAATCCTAGTCCACAATTCATGCAACTGCTGAGTGTAGTGTTGTGCAACAGATAAAAGGTTAGGATCAAAGGCAAGGCAAGACACACTCATATCTGAGCTGTACCTTGTACAAGTTGGAGACATTATGTCATTGACACAATGCAACTTCTCATTCAACATAGAAACCAGGTCTTTCCTCATTTCACATCCTTTCCCATTTCAGTGAAGTTTTTAGCACCAACTGCAGGCCCTCTGGCTGATAGTTTGAGGGTCTGATTAGCAGTTATGCTGCTCTACTTGTTAGCCACTGTTTCCCAGGCTTCTGTGGACTTCACTGCTCCCCTAGGGTAGTGATTCTCAAAGTAGGGTCTAAAGACCAAAGCAACAAAATCACCCATAGTACTTACCAAAATGCAGTCTCCTGGACGTGGCAAGTCAATATCCTTGACGTGGGCCTGGGAATTTTTTTTTTTAAATAACCTCCCAAGACAGTCTTAGAGAACCACTCCTATGTGGGCAGATAAGGTCTTCCCACTTCAGTTGCCCTGGTTCTCTGACTCTAATAAGCTCACTGTGTTATCTTGGTTCTCTGGGGTTCCAGGACAAACAAGTTGCTGCCGATGCAAGTGGATGGAGAGCCCTGGATGCAGCCACCTTGCATGGTAAGTTTTCCCAGTCTTTGAGGTGAGTATGAAAAGCTTTATTTTGGGTCCTTTTGGAGCCCTGACCTAAGGTGAAATCACTGAATCTCAGAGTTGCACAGGCTTTGAGAAATCATCCTCTCTTTCACTTCATTCATCTATCCATTCATTTATCGGCCAAGCTTTAATTGAATACCTGCTATGTTCCAGGTACTTGTGAGGCATCAGTTCCAAAATTGAATGAAAGCTCACAATTCTTCTGAGACTTTGTTTATACTATCCTTGAGAGCCTCAACTTGAGTCATTCCAGGGGCAGGGAATTGACCACACCAGAAGAAAGACTGTTCTGTTGATGAATAAGTCTAATTGTTAGAAACTGCTTCTTTATGTTGAAGTCAAATCTGCACACTTAACCTATAACTTCCAACCAGTCATCCCCGGGAGCTCCTGGGGTGGGCAGGGGATTCCCACAATGCATGTACACACTTATCATGAGTTCGCCGCAGCCCAAGGACCTATCTGAGAACTCCACTGAAAGAGTAACCACATGAGTTACCTATTTTGTTTATGGTGTTCACCCAGCACCTAACACTGTGCCTGGTTTTCTAATAGTTATGCGATAATCTTTGTTGAACACTGAACAAAGGACTGAACAACTGAACAAACGAAAACAAAGGGACATCCTCATTCCCTTTATACTATGTTAGCTCTCCCCTTAGCAATGCTATAGGAGCCCGGCAGTCTTCTTCCTAGATTCTTCTCTGCTGAAACTCAGCTAGAAGCTCTGTGGTAAAGAGACCCAGGGTCTTCATAAGATATTTTACGTCAGTAATATTCTCTATACTATCATGAGACAAATCTCAAAAGACAAAAGTCATATTTCTAAGTTTTCTCACTCTGGTAAGTATTCAGATGCATCAATAACCTGCTGTTTTGAGCCCTTCAGAACATCAAGTGGTCTTCCACAAGAAAAAAAAAAGTTTTCATGAGATTTCTACTGGGACATTACAGCAAAAAAAGAACTTTTGATAAAAACTGAAGCCAGTTAAATTAAAATGAAGTTTTAAAAAACTGTTAAATACAGTTATATAAATAAATGCAAATGGATCATTCTTTATAAGAGAAGATACATAATGGAATCCCAAACCTAAAGTTCTCTTAAACAACACTGAAAGCATTTAGGAGATGTTGTTGAAGGAATAAAAAAGATACGTTAAATTTTTCATTGTATCTTTTCACCTTGTCTATTTAAAAGAGTTTCTCAGAAGAAAATTTTAATAAAAAAATAATCCTTTAGTGAAAGGATGACTTTTCAAATCTGGGAGAATATAAAATTTATGAACCTTATCAATATAATAAAAACAGAAAGCAAATAATAAGGAAACATTAAAAAAATTTTTGAAGTATGATGAAAAATATTAAGGCTAAATACTTCAATAATGACAAAAAAATATAAGTGTGTTAAAGTCCCCTAATAAAAGGAGATTAAAAATTAAAATTTAATGTCATGCTTATAAGAGATATACCTAAAACAAAAGGATATATCATAATAGGTGGAAACTGTATAGGAAAAAAATATTATTCCTAACGATTTCCATATATATATATATATATATATATATATATATATATATATATACTTCCATATATATTTATATTTCCATATATATATATATATATATATATATATATATATGGAAAACCTAAAACTAGTCATTCCTTTTTCAGGCACAGAGAAGGTAAAAGTAATAAATGTCATTGTTAACTATATTAATTTTAGACAAACTAACTTGCCAACATGCCAAAAACACAGAATAGAATAAAGAAGGTCAATTTTATTTGATAAAAAGTATAGTCAAGTATGAGATATAATATAATGGTCATAAAACTTCAGGTATCTAATAGTAGAATCAAAATATATAATGTGAAAAATAGTATCAATATACTCTGAGTGGCCAGATTATTATGATAAAAATTGATAGAAAGACCAATATTAAGAAGCTTTAAAATATTTGTTTTTATCTTTAAAAAATAAATAAATGAGTGATATAAAACTTGGATGAAATAACTTGATAACCTATAAACAAATTAAATATCTCCACTTATTTCAAAGATCCACAGAATATTTACTAAAATAGATCACAAACAAATTTACCAAAGAATCTATATAAAATCAGAAGCAGAAATTATAAAGTTTATTTTATTTAACCACAAAGCAATAAAACTAGAAATTAATAGTAGAAGATCAAATAAACAAGCAAACAAAATTTAATAATTCAGTGATTTTAAATTTTTCTAAAGAACAGTACATTCAAGAGATTAAAACCACCATTATTGACTAAGGATAATAAAAATTAAAAAGACTCTCATTCAAACTTATAGAATATAGCTTAAACCATATTTGGAGATATGTTCAGAGACCCATATACACTTATCATTCAAAAAAGGAAAAGAATAGTGAATAATTTCAAAATTAGAAGAATAAGAATAAAACAAAATAGGAGAGGCAGAAGGAAGAAAAATAATAAAAATAAAGTAGAAATTAAATAATTTAAAAACAGGAAAACCTAAAACTAGTTCTTTAAACATGTCAAATATTTGAAAACCTAATTTCAAAAAGAGAAAACCAATGATCATAGCTATTAAAATGTAAAAATAGCCGAAACCGGTTTGGCTCAATGGATAGAGTGTCGGCCTGCAGACTGAAAGGTCCCAGGTTCGATTCCGCTCAAGGGCATGTACGTAGGTTGAGGGCACATCCCCAGTAGGGGGTGTGCAAGAGGCAGCTGATCTATGATACTCGCTCATCGATGTTTCTAACTCTCTATCCCTCTCTCTTCTTCTCTGTAAAAAATCAATAAAATATAAAAAAAATGTAAAAATATATAATAATTGCCATAAAAATATAAATGTGATAATGGTTTTATTTCATTATTAGAGGCCTGATTTACAAAATTGTGCAAGGGGCTCAGCCCTCATAGCCCCAGCCTCTGGTTCTACTGCTCAACTATCTGATCTAATTAGCATATTATACTTTTATTATTATAGATAAGGCATTACATAATATGAGAGATATAAAAATAGATGAAGACTTAAAGATTTAACAAATATTTTTTAAAAGATTTGAATTTAGAAACCTGTTTCTAAATAGAGATCCAAACAAAATCTTATTGCAATTGTTTTTTAACTTAAAAAAAAAAAAAACCAATGCAATATTGAAGGCATTTAATGAAAGAAGTATGAGGAAGGGCTTCCCACAAGGTATTAAAACAGCTATAAAGCCACTGTAGTTGGCACAATATTGTATAGATAAATCAACTGTACAGAAGAGGCCCTAAGAAACCCTAGTACATAAAAACTAATGAAGGGAAAAAAAATGGGAGATCATAAACCAATTTAAAGGCAATGAACTGTTTAACATATACTAGCCAAAAAATTACCTGACTGGGAAATGTCATTATACATCAATTTCTCAACTCTATACCCAGAAACAAAACAGAAAAACTCTAATTCTATTAAAGAATTAAATGTTACTAGCTAGGGGGGAAATATAGGTGACTGTCATCACACTGTGAGCAGGGACTTTTTCAAGAGGAAAACGTGACATTTTGGACTATTAACAAGTTTAAGACTCTACAAGCCAAGAATCAATATAGATCTTTAAAAGGTTAAGGACATGATGTTTGCAACAGGTTAATTCCCATAATGTATAATCATCTATACATTGATGAGCAGATTAATTCCCATAATGTATAATCATCTATTAGAAACCAGCAGGAGAAAATACTAGGGATGCAGTTGTGAACAGACAATTCACAGAAGAATTGCCATGGGCTAATAAACCCATAAAACAATATTTAATATAACAAATTAAGAAAAAAAGGGGGAGAAAGAATTTCAAATTAAAATAGTGAGAAAGCCCTGACATGTTTCATTTACCAAATTAAACAAATTTACCTAATTTGTTTTTCTTTTAAAAATAATATTCATTGTTGTCAAGGGTGTGACGAGTCAGGCACATTCAACCAGTGAAGCCAGAGTAGAAACTGGTACAGTTGCGCTGGGAAGCATTAGGAACCATGCATCAAGAAGATCCTTGCAAATATTAATATACATTGACCCAGTTCATTTACTCTGACCCTTAAAATTGTTCATATACTTTTAGGTATTTATTCTAAGTAAAATACAAGTTTCCAGAAATACAGAAGCCAGTGTTTTAAAATGTCAATGTCTATATTATTCATAATAGGGAAAAAATTGGAAATTACTTAAAGCCCAACATTTAGATATATGGTTAGATAAGCTATGTGAAAGTCATCAAATTGAATAATTTTCAGCCACTGGAAATTATATAATGAATCTTTAATGATATCAGAAATCCTTTCAAATAATGTTAAATGAAAATAACTGATTTTAATTTTATTAAAAATATATAAGCACAGAAACAAACTGGAAAAATATATATCAAAAAGTTAACAGCAATTACTTTGAGGTGATTTTTAAATTTTTTCCATAATTTCTAAATTTTCAAAAATAGGAATATATTTGTTTATATGTAAAGATTTTTGTGTATAAAATAGTCACAATTTAAAGACTTGCCTTGTGCTTGTAGCACTATAAGATGGCCTCTCATGCTTTATCACCAGTTACGCAGCATCATTTGAGCTTTGAAATTAAGAACCTTCTCTCAGAGTTAGATACTAGTACCAGAAGGATCTCAAAGTTGAAAGGGATTCTACTAGTCCAGTGATTCCCAAACTTGAGTATACATTTCAATAACCTGGAGGGCTTTCAAAACACAGATGGCTGGATTTCTTATTCAGTAGGTCTGGATGCCTTAAGAATTTGCATTTCTGACAAGTTTTCAGGAAATGCTGATGCTGCAAGTCTAGGGACCACACTTTGAAAAACCAATAATCTAGTCGAACTTCCCGACCTATCAATAAACCATACTTCTCCACCCCTCGTAAAACCCGATGATCCAGCTACATTTGAAAGCCTCTAATGCAGGAAACACTCTTATGAAGCTGGGCCGCCTAAGATCTTGGAGAACCCAGAAATAGCTAAGATCTGAAAAACTTTGCAAAGCCCCTCTCTCCTCCTCAAGGCTCAGTTTAATATTTCCTTGACTTTTTAACAAGTCAAGTTAAGACCTTTCAAGTTTCCGCCTCTCTATTTATCTCCAACTGAAATTAGGGCAGACTTGGATACTTCCCAAATGATCGGGGAAGGGTCTCCTCTTAAAGTTATTGGCCATTTTGCTGGGCATGATTCGAATTATTTGCCCTGAGAGGGCAACAATGAGGAATAAGTCTCTCAGTTTATTGCTTCTCTTGAAGTAATAAAAATGTGTTGATTTCCAGAAGATGGCCCCCAAAACAAAGTCAACTCCCAGCACTAGTGAAATTTTAAAATTTACTCTTTTCAAAGGGGAATTAAATGCTGCAGTAGTTTTGTGAATTTCAAGCTATCACAAGAGCCCGCTGTAACACTTATCTCTATAATAGAGCAGAGAACTAGGCACATGGGGCTGCTGTCCCTAATGCTTGTCAGATGTTGTAAATATTATGGAAGGTGTTTAAGAAATCATAACTGCCTGATCTGCCCAATTACCAGAGAAATTTGAGTTCTAACTACAGAAACATGAATGCTCTCATTCCATCAGGGGTCAAAAAGTCAGGTTTAGCCACATCCAACTACCTTCTAAAATGAAATCTTCCCTATTTAATTTCACCAACCCCCTCCTAATTTGGGCATAAGGGGATAAGAGACTGGCATTTCTTTGACTCCAAAAGAGGATATGAACTCATATTTCTTGTTTTTAGTGAGTATACATACAGTCAACTGTATGTATACTCAGTTGCCTATAGTATTAGAATCCACAAACCACATCAAAATCTCATATTACTCAGGGTCTCCAAACTCCTACCCAATCAAGACCTTCATCAAAACTGCTGAAAATCCAAATGAGAGGGATTTGAGTTTCATTTCCTCCTCTTTGCCCTGGAAGTGCTATCAAGCAAGCAAATAGCTCAGCTAGAGAGGAAAAAAAGGAGAAGTCAAGATCTTCTATCATCTGAAAAAAATGGGCCCCATCAATGGGAAATGTAGGCAGTGCCAGTTGTTACTCTGCCTCAAGCATAGCCACCCCCCCACTGCCATGGTGTTCTCTCTCTCTTCTTGGTTTTCAAACCCATCAGTACTTCCACAGCATGTCCTCTGAATAGGCACTGCACTTGCTCCAGGAATACCAAGGTGAGTAAGATGAAGTTCTTCCCCTTGGAGAACTTGTGTGCTCAGGGAGTAAGAGAAGGTTTACCACACGGAAATGTGCCACAAATTGCTGTCATCAGAGAGCAAAATTATATGCCATAGAGAAGTGCTGTCAGAGTCCCCAGTCTATGCCTCACTTCCATAAATCCTGGAATAATCATAATAAGGCACATAACACAAAATGTGTCTCAAAATGTTCTTGGTTTGTTCCTCTGGTGACTATCACAGAACAGAAAGATGGATTCCCCTTCCAGATCTCCAGACTCTAGACCAACATGAGAGTCATTTTCAGCTTCGATTACTCAGGAAGTTTTCACAACAGCTTTTGGTCCCACCTTTTCCTTTCCATATCTTAGGACCTTATAAATTTAAACCTGGCTTCCATAGTACCCTCTTGGTCAGACTCTTCCTTCATTCCATCTCACTCTGACAACTGTTGAATAATTTTCCCAAAACTCTTTTTCATCATGTTATTCTCCAGCTTAATAAGTTATTATAGTTCCTCATTACCTCACGTTAAACCCCTTACAGCCCTATCCCATCTGTATTCCCAACCTATGTCTCATGCTTTGCCCCCCATTCAACCAGTTTACATGTAGCCCCTCTACCCAGTGTCTTCCCTTTCTCTTTTTCAGCATCATATTTCTTTCCCTTCCTTTCAGATCTTAAAATTATTTTTCAAATATTCCATTCAGACTCGTCTCATTCCTTAGCTAATTTCTTTTTGGCACCACTTTGTTAAGGCTACATTCATTTAAAGATGTTTCTCCAATACTTCCTCTGTTACTTTCCGTGGTCACACTGTCATTTCCAATAATATGATTTAAAAAAAAAAAAAAAAAAAAAAAAAAAAAAAAAAAAACCATGAGAATGGGCTCCTAGATTCTGTTGCTTTTGATATACATCTTTTTCCTTCTCCTACAAAGTAAGATAATTATTTAATTGTTATTTACCATTTTATACTTTATGGTGAATTTTCATTGATAGTCTACCAGTTGACCTTCACAACTTGTGAGGAAAATAAGACAAATATCCTCATATTACAGTTGACCAGACAGGGTTTTAAAGGCTAAGGGATTTTTCCAAAGGCTCACAGAAAGAGGTGGAAATCCTGAAACACAATCCCTGGTCTTTGAATCCTAAATTTCTCTTGTTCCCACATCATCTTCCTACTCTGAATACATCAAACTTGGTAAGTGTTGTTGAAAGACTAATAATGCAGATTATTGAAGTGGCGGTGTCACCAGGCCACATGTAAATAGGGATTAAGCATTTTGAAGCCATGCCCTGAGGATAATGAGCATTCACAAATGTCTTCTACTTCTAATTGACTTAAAGTTTACAGGAGAAAATACTCATAAAACCTAAAATTTTTTAAAAATAAAAACCACTCACATGCTTTTAAAATAAAGTTATATCTTTCCTAGAAGGTGAAGAAAAGAGGAAAGACCTAAGAGACACACTTGGGAATTCTCCAGATCATGTTGCTTAAGTCAGGGGTTCAACAGAAGGTCAACTTTGAGTTACTGGTTGACATTCCAGCGCTGCCTAAGCAGGAATGGCTAGGGATGGAGGCTGGGAAATTGAGAACTGAGCTCTGGATGTTCTGTCCCATTCTGTGTAACCTTAGGCCTTTATCCTGCAGAGGGGTTGAATGAGATGGTCCCTAAGGTATCCTCCGGCTGTGACATTCTGAAAGTCTATGAATAGCAAGGACACAAGACAGGTGCGAGCTGATTACCACGTGGGAAGCTCACACTTGTCTGTCCCCAGTGCTTCCACCCCTCACTTCCAGCAGTGCCAAACTCCAGGCCTAGTCAGGGTCCAGTTGCCAATTCTGAAGTTGTTCAAGGACAGTCGTCCTTCTGCATGGGGCTCCTTCCAACCTTAAGCTGGCCTTCCTTCCTCTCTCTGAGACTCACTCTCTCATAGGCTTTTGGGACTCCATGCTACTAATTCAGTTCTGCCTCTTTGCTTTTAGATTAAAATTATTCACAAGAACCAAGCACCCATGATGATGGGACCTCCCCAGAAGAGCAGCTTCTTTTCGCTGAGAAGGAAGAGCCGTTCAAAAGACTAAACAATGTGCCAATTGCCAGTTAAACCAAGAAAGAAAACAAGAAACTGTAACACATACACATACACACACACATACACATGAACACACACACTCTCCTCTCTAGCCAGCAGAAGCAAAGCCACCCTTCAAGAGGAAACTTTCGCCCTGCCATATATTCTCTTTATTTCAACAATGAACACACCCTAACAGAGCCAGTGACAACAGAACACTTTGAATGGACTTGGGCCCCACCAGTGTATGGTTGGCTCATGCAGCAATTTCCACATTCCCAAAAGGCCTTGGGTAAGGCTTTCCCAGATTGAAGAAGAACTCCCCTTCCTTCCCACTAGCCCTGTAAGTTTCTCATGGACATTCGCAAGGAACAGGCTGCAGGTTTCCTGCCTATGATGAGATGGGATGTGGCCAAGGGAAAGAGTTTTCAATCCAGAAAGCCTACACAAAGGTCCCTCTGTAAAGAGACAAATGGCCTCCGACGCTCAGAGCATAACCCTTGGCAGGGCTCAGCAAGCACACGTTGATTTCTTGGTCGTCCTTCCAGCGACAGCGACAGCTTTTCCCTAAACCTGCTGAGGATGCAGAAAGGCTGTGCAAAGCTGTGTTTCCATTCTTGGTTCTCTCTGCTGTCAGTGGGCACTTGTTATTTCCCGAAGCCTTCTCCTGGTGGCTGTGTTTGTTTAAAGACGGCTCCAGGAGCCCCCAGAGCTGCCTGCACAGCATACCTTAGATGTGGTATTTATTTTCTTAGTTCTGTGAACACCTGGGAGGAAAAGCAGAGAAACTGGGATTTATTTTTCAAATTGGTGTCATAATATTGTGTAAAAAGGGAAGGAAAAAAAAAAAAAAAAAAACCACCCCCAGCTTCTTTCTTTTTCAAGCCAAAGTGTGTTTCCTGTTTGAGTTCCAAGCCCTGGTGGCAGTCTATTCCTGAAGGCAGAAAAGTCGGGCGAGAAGGGCCGTTTGCTGAGGGGACCAGGAGACAAACCATCAGATGGTAGTTCCTCCAGCCTATTTGCATCTGGTACTCCCAGAGTATGACCTGAAGGCCCTTTTGATGGTCTTATTTGTGTATATATGTGTTGCATATATATTTATAAATATAAATATTTATTTACTGATGGACTTTTCCTGATTTAAAAATATATATTTAGCATAGGAACAGAAAATGAAATAGATAAAGGTTTTTACTCCTCCATCCCACCATTTCCTTGTCAAGACACATTGCCCTGTGGTGACTGTGAGATTTAAGGGAAATGAAAGTAGATTCTTATCATAGAGAAACTAAGAACTCCTATTCTGGATCATTAAAACAACCATGAGATATATACTGGGCAGGACTTATTCTTCCATTTATCAGAAATGTTAAGAGACTTGTCCATGATATCTTGGCTAATGTGGTTTGGAATAGGTGCCACTTAAGAAGATGCTTAAAAGAGAGAGAGAGAGAGAGAGAGAGAGAGAGAGAGAGAGAGAGAGAGAGAGAGAGATTGATTTAATAGAGAAAATAACCATGCATCTTAGAACAGGGTCAATTCTGGTCACTGAGAAATGATTCCATTTGGATCCAGGTTCCCAGGGAAGAATGAATGTGCACCACATGTGGGCATAGGGCAAGCCCACATGAAAAAATGAGGCCTCATGATGCTTCTCAACGATTCTCTTTGGCCTGAACTGATGAGAAGTCGGTCTGAGTTGAAGGCACTGAACAGATCATCATACTCTCCACATAACACCTCATCATGTCTCTCAGCATGGAAACAACCTGACTGCAGGAATAACCTCAGTGAAAAAGTACAGGAGAGCTGAGGTATCTTCTGCAAGGTACTGCCAGCCAGTACCCAGAGGGGTCTCAACAAAACTCAGTGGGCTTCTTTCAGCTGGTGCTGGCATTACCGTCCTTTCCAGAGGGTCTGTGGAGCTTCTTCGGTAGAAGAAACATTTGCCTTGTTCCCTCAGGCCTCCATCCTCTCTGAGATTCCTCAAGAGGAAACCTGGGCTCCCTGGGCATTGCTCCACTGAGCTTCCTCTAATCTCCTGATACTTAGTCGGGAGCTTTGTACAAGGAGAGGAAAATTACAATTGTATGTACAAATTGATTCTAACTCTGAAGGAAGCAGTCATCTAGGACCATGTGGACTGGACATCTAGGACCATCCTGCTCAACCTAACCGTGCAGAGCACCGGGCAAGGGGAAAACCAGGCCACCGGAAGCATCTCCTGAGGAGTTGGATCAATGGTGATGGGATCAACAAGCTCCAGAATGACAGCAGGTACCATCTTGGAAGCCAGTTGATTCTGAAACACACACAGGTTCGGGTTTGGGGGCCACCCTTGCTAAGGCATTTACAGAAGTATTTGCATGTGTTTCAGCCCTGATCTCCCAACACTGAGGCTATTGACACATAACACTATGAATACATGAAACTGAAACTGATTCTCAAAGATTCACAAGTCAGAGACTGGCTCTCTGCCCAATCTACCCTAGTGCATAGGACTTATAATGTTTCTTGAGAGTCGTGTCCCAAATTTTTCTTAGAGCCAGAGTATAACAAACTTGGGGATAACTCAGTTTTGATTCCTCACCTTAGTCTGGCCATGCCACTGACATGTTCTCACCTGCCCCCACACTTCTACCCCACTAGCAATAAAAAAAAAAATAAAACAGGAAATCTTTGACACCTTGTGTTGTCCCTGGACTTATGGGGTAGGAGTTGCCATGGCCTGGTCTTTGTGGATTTCCTCCAGTGTGTTGAGAATTGAGATTGACTTAATAAGACAATTATATTTCAGGTCAGAGACCAGCTCCTCTCAAGAGAGTTCTTTCCAGATGGAAAAGATATGTTAAAATTGCCAAATAAATTAGGAAATACTTGGCAGAACCTGGAAGAGCCTCCAGACTGGCATTACATAACATGTATATACATTATACATATGCACATTATATAAGGTAACATAGTACTTAATGTGCTGCATATATTATGTAAATTACATATTTGTGAGTAATCATGATAAATATAGAGACCCACTAATCACTTTTTTACACATTCTCAGTGACAGATTAGGAAGTTTCTTTGCCAGAGAGTCTTAAAACTTACTCTCTCCTGCTGCCTTAATTCCAACTCCTGCCAAAAATAATTGCATCAACTTTTCCTATCTCCATCCCCATTTCCTGCTGGCCAAAATTCTCAGTTACCTCCTGTCCCAGCTAGTACCTTCTATGGAATACTATCACAATTGGGATCATAAAAATAGAATCACGGAGATAGGAATGATCTAGACTCCAAGATTCCCTATGTCACAGGCTTACCGCTCCCTCAAAACTCCCAGGTAGGTGGGTGCCTAATGCTAGTGTTAAAGGGAGAGAGGAAGGGAGATGGGGAGGAAGAAGAAGAGTTTACCAACTTTCCAAGCAAGGAAACGTCCCAGTGTTTCTTAGCCACCAGTTCCCGGATCCAGCAATAATAATCAATCAGAAACTTATTTCAAACAGAATATCTGAAACCATAATTACATAAAATGTGTTTCACAAAATACTGGTATCCATAAAATGCTCCATGAAAAAAGAAGTTCTGTGGTCAAGTACTAGATCCCCTTCTAAAAGATGCATACCGGGGCTTACCTCTAAGAACCCACAGTAAAGAGCCATAGGGACCTTTATTTATCTAGCAACATCTATAGATCAGAAACACTGCCTTAAGCCTACCATTTTTGTCTTCAGGGAAGATGGGAACACGAAAGTAAACATCTTCTGCAATAATCTTCCAAAAAGTAATTTTCTCGGATAAGGAGTGTCCATTTTAAGGCACTCTTTCTTGTTCCTTCTATGTGATTGTTGAACTACTTTTATTGTTCCCATTGTTCTTCATGTCTTCAAGCAAGAATCAAGAATCTGGACTCTGTCCTCTAAGTGGGGAGGGACTGGGAAAAATTAAGGAGAAAACATGAGAGCTGAGATGGGGTCAACTTCATCTGTTAACTCCAAAGAACAGAACTGGGTTTAAACAGCACAGTTGTTAAAAAGTCTATTTTTACTCAATTTAATAACCGCTCTTAGAGCTGACCTAATAAGGAGAGTGCTACCTTGTGAGGGAATGAATAGCCACCAGCTCTTATAGAGAAAGCCTTGACCCAGTTGGGTGGGAAACAAGCAGTGGTTGTTCTACCTTGTTCAAAAAACCGTTAAAGTGTTTCTGTAGGCATGAATGTTAAGTCAATAGCTCTATTACTTCTTTTTGAACAGCATACCTTGGAGCCTCTTGTTTTTTGAAAGAATGAAAAATGACTCCCAGAGAGATGTCTGGATAAGTGGATACTGACCAGTTGGACCACATTTATACATAGGAGGGCTAATCTGACTCATTGTACCCTCTAGGGAAGCCAGTGGTTGTGATCTCTCCTTGGTAGCTGTGATAATTAAAGGAATGAGTTAAAGTATTAAGGCAAAAAGAAATTTTTGTATTTCTATCAGGGTCCATATTAGTGGTTCAGAATTCTTCTCCTAGTCACAAATACCAGACCTGCATCTGACTTTCAATAACAATGAAAAAGAAACTATCCCATATCTCAAATATCAATCAGATTTTAGGAAGAAAAGAAGAGCAAATTTGTACAGATTTGCACATGGGGCCCTTGTTTTTAGCTCACCTGATAATCCAGCATATTGGAGTGCATCGCATAACTTTCTACTACAGAGAGGAAACAGAAAAGGGAGTACCCACGTATTGCTTACTGGGAGCAAGGCACTGCATCAAGGTCTTTTCATGTGCTATCCCATTTAAACCCTAAAGTAGCCTACAATATGGGCATTGTTGGTACTTATTCCACAGGTAAGGAACTATATATTGAAAGGTGAAGTACTTATCTAAGATCAGATAGATAGCAAGTGATAGAGCTGGGATTTGACATGGCTCTTTCTCACCAAATATAGCAGGGGGGAAAATGTATGCTTTTCTACTATATTTTAGTGTCTTTAACATTCTTATTTCCCACCCTGCTATCATCCT